CCCATCCCTGGGACCATTCCAGGCCAGGTTGGACGGGGCTGTGAGCAACCTGATGTGGTTAAAGGTGTCCCTGCTCCCTGCAGGGGGGTTGGGCTGGATGGTCTCTAAAGGTCCCTTCCAATCCAAAACATTCTATGATTCTATGACACTGTACTTGTTGGTGTGTTCCCAGTTAGCAAATGGCCTGGATACAACAGCAGTTTGAGCACGTCAAAGAGGATGACTGCCATCAGCTGGATTAAGCAGTAACTGGAAGGCTGGCAAAGAGGACTCAGCTTGAAAAGAAGGATAAAAGAAACACGAACATTTGCAAAGATGGCAGAGAGCCTGGAGAGGAAACAGCGGCAGTCAAAACCTGGTTTGACACTGCCAGAAGATTCTCTGATGGCATCACTGCCTCCGCTTTGGCCAGAGTGAGAAGCTTCCCTCCCCGCACACCAACTAGCGGACTGACAATTTGGGGTGCAACAAGTAGGGACCCACACCTCATGTGTGACCTCACGGTGCTTTCTTGGTGTCATCTGCATTAGCAGGAGCAGCATGGGTAGCATCCACACCTCCCACGGGAGATGGGCACAAGTAGGGGATCCTGCAGTCCCAGAAGAGACCGTGTGCGCTTGTAACCCATGCTCCTTGGGGGTGCATACGACTGCGCACGTGTGTCTGTCTGTGTGTGTACAGAGCTTCCTGGGGTTACTTGCAGCAAGGCTTTTAGAAATTTGCAGGCATTTATTAACATTTAGGTGGTGAGGTTTATCTGTTGTGCTGCTGATGCTGATTCTGAGCACACCATTCACTGATTGCCAGTCAACTACCTGTTGTTAATAAAAATCAATGAACAGCTTTGATCATGATATGGTTTAAACTATGGGAACTGGTGAGTATTTCCCTGCAAAATATGTTATTGAACCATCAGAAACACTTTTTAAAATTAATGATTACTAAAGAAGCAACGCCAGGAACTGACCTTGCTAGTACATCTTAACCGTCACCTTAGAAGGGATCTTAACCGTCACCTTAGAAGGGATAGCTCTAGTTACTGATACTGATCCCTACAAATGAAAAAATGGAAGATGAGAAGAAATCCATGAAAAAGATGAAGAGAACCTCGATAAACTCCATGATAAACTTAAAAGATGATCACGCCCCAGCCACTGAGAATTCCAAGTAGAAGAAAAAGGATATATCCTTGCCAGTTTCGTTTTCTACCACAACATCCTCCATAGATTCAAAGTACTGGCTCCAAAGCACTGGTGAAAAATCACGCTTTCGTCCGGGGCTGCAAGACAAAAGAAAAAAAAATAATCAGCAAGATGTATTTTTAAAATCTTTCATTTAAATTGGCATAAAGGCATTTGTGATGACATGCATTGAAGAGAACACACTGGTGGTACACAACAGTTTAGGACTGGAAGCAAATGACGCATCGGTGAAATTCCCATACAACTACAATATCAGCAATTTTATGGTCAGTAAGGAAATCCTCCTTCCCCCCAGTTGTTGCTCCTATTGAGATCACAAAGATGCACAGGAAAACCAGTGGAGACACAAAAAGAAGAATATTTTCCTTGTAAAGCAATACCAGGGAAGACTGAATGATGGTGGTTGAGACTACACAGACCTAAGCCATGGGAAAAGAAAACGAACAGGGCACACAGTGATGCTGGCCCAGTACAATCTCCCAATTTGCAATAGCCCAGAGATTAGGTGCTTCAAAAGTCAAACGTCATTAAATACCTTTGTATTTAATGGTCTTGGTTCTAGCCTTAAAGCAAGCCTGATGCTGTCGTGACTGGTTCCAGTGCCTGGGACACAGGAAGCCATCCTAAATTTATGACTCAGCCCATGAATCATAATTAAAAAAAAGAATATGTCCCTCTCAGAAGTCACCTTGGCACCATGGCATTGAAGAGCAGAGTGCCAGCTATTTCCTGGACGTTACTACTAATTTACCAATGTACTACTTGTCATGAGATTACAGCTTTCCTAGAAATCTCCTCTGATTTTTGGAAGAAATAGCATTCAAACAGAAAGTCAACCTGTCCTGATGGCTGAGCGGCCGGTAGAAAAACTGTGGAGAGAATTGAATGGTGTGGTATATACAAGAAACTTAGAAACACTGTTGGGAGCAGTGGGTTTAAGTTAACAGCAGCAAGTTTTAATTACAGCTCAAGTTCCCTGGAATTTATTGCAAGGGTTAAAACTTTAACGTATTTGTAAACAGATCTAGTATTTAACTACTTGTGTAGGGCAACATCAGGACCGCGAAGGAAAAGAACAAGACCAAATTAATTTGGTATATGCTTCCCTATCTATCCTGCCTCAGTTACGTACAAGGACCACGAGAACATTATCACAATAAAGACCAATAAACACTCCTCAAGCTGCCTTCCTTCATGTCCTTAGAGCTACACAGGTCTGTGACTCTGAAAATATCCTAAAATAAAAACATTTTGTTAGGAAGGATGCTACCAAGCCCAGTAATGCAAGGAAAAGGTAGTGAGTCCAAAAGGCTAGTTATTAAAGAAAAAAAAGGTAGGGTCTTTAAAAGGTAGGTAGGGTCTGTCTTTAAAAGGTAGGTAGGGTCTTTAATCAAAAGGGCTGTCAGGGGCTGGAAGGGGCTGCCCAGGGAAGGGGTCGAGTCCCCAGCCCTGGGGGGATTTAACAGCCGGGCAGAGGCGGTGCTGAGGGCCAGGGTTTGGGGGTGGGATGGCAGGGGTAGGGGAAGGGTTGGGCTGGGGGAGCTTCAAGGGCTTTGCCAACCTGAACAATTCTATGATTCTATGAAAGCTCTATTTTAAATTAAGGATTGTAACAACAAGACTGCATAACACAGATGCCACGCGAGAACAGGTTTTCAGGCTCCAGTTTGCTCCAGGCTTTACGCTTATTCCCAGGTTGCTGTAATTCCCTTAGGAATCATAACCTACCCATACAGAAACACTGCTTTACTGTCATTAAAAACAAAACAAACAAAAAAATTACCCCAAGAAGGTAAAATCTGGCCAAACGCATCCCAATCACTGGAGATTTCTGGATGCTCAATTCTACCCATCACAAACCAGGGAGCTAATGCCCAGAAGCAAGATTTCTTTTTCTGTCACATCGTTCACCAAATGCTGATGAACGAGCACTGCACAGGCAAGAAAATCGTAACGGTGGACACCAGGGGAAGAGAAAGTGCTTTGGAGATGGACCAAAACTACTGTGTTAAAAGAGGACTCGGTGTGATGAACGATTAGGGCATCGGTGCTTGCTGTGGACTGCTTCATCTCTAGTCATTACTGCTACCTGGAGAGGTTTCCTCTTTTTGTATAAGCTGGCATCTTCCTGCCAGCGCTCCGCACGCTCAGGGAATAATACCTGAACAGAAGCCATAAAGCAAAGCCCGGTTTTCCCAGTAACACATTTCCAAAAGGTGAATCACAGTCATTACTCCCCATAAGCAGCGAGACTCATTTCCTCTTTATAATTAGGCTAATTTCTGCCGCAGTTTGTTGACAGGGACATGGCAAAACGCTGCGACAAATTACGCCTTATATTAGCTGCTCCTGTAGTACTAAAGCCAGGTCCTATCCAGCACCTTCGGAAAAGCAATTCCCCTAAATTACTGGGTGAATGCAGATGTGTTCTGTGGACATCGTATAAAACCAGGACTCTCAAAGGTGCCCAGTTGACAAACCAATTTATTTTTTGCTTCCATCAAAAGGTGCAGCTGTGCCCTCTCCTTGTAATCCCCATTACTAACAAAAGGCTCCGCAATCAGAATTTTCCTGATGACTCAGTTGATGCACAAATCTGTTTCTCAGCCTGATATTCACTCGGTAAGGCTAAAAGAGTAGTGCTTAATTTTGGCAGTGACATAATTAGGCTAGATTCGAGCCCAGTATACAGGATGAGTAACGTGCACCATTTTAACGGGCTTTTTGCACTTCAACTCTTCTGGCGGAGGCAATCAGCACCGAATATTAAAATCGAGCATGGGCGTGGGGGGTGAAAGACCTTCACAGAAGAAATATCTCTGTCGAAGGAAGTTTCTCCTGAATTCTTGGCTTCCTAAAGAAATAGAAAGGAGCGGACAAAGCAGCTTTTCAATTTTGGGGAAATAAAACTCCCGTTTCCCCTGATATTTCTAGAATATGAAACATAAGACAACCACCCCCTGAAGGGTCTAAATTCACTTCTGTGGGTTTCCAGACTTCAGTATTGCTCTTGTCAAATTTCAATTAAATAAAATGAGATGTCACACACCTACGTAAGTCCAGAAAATATGAATCTCTTTTGCTGCCTCCGATTAATCACATTCTCAGAGTAAAGAAAAAACATCACATTCAAACCTTTGCCTTTCAAAGAATGCAGTAGATCGGGAGGAACAGAGTGATATAATATCAAGATGACAAGTTGTCATAATATTGGGAAGAACTGGGCACACCTGCACAGCGGTCCAAGTATCCAAGGAAAGGAGACAGCATGTGCCGCGACACCGATATAACATCCTGCTAGGAAAAACATAAACACAAAAAACTCCCAGCGTGGGTTAAGATTCAAAAAAACAACTAATGCTGAATTTCAGAAGCGAGAATTTGGTATGAAATACAGCAAACTGGTATTATTGAGAAGAGCTTCAAGCTACCCAACTTACAATTGGTTTATCTTCTAGGACCACAAGAATCGGTATGACGAGAGCCATCAAAGGTCCATCCAGCTCTGCAACGTGTCACCAAGAGATGCCAGCACAGCAAGTGCTCTGGAAAGGGTTAAGCAGGGAATAGGGTAAGACCTCCAAATTCTCACTATAAGTAGGACGGGGATCCCCAGCGGCTGCACCCTCAGCACCGTGTTGTATTAAGGGAGGACAGTTTCCATTCGCTCGTCACATAAAATACAAGTCACTTCCAGCCAGAGCTACTTCCACGACGTCTGTGACGGCGGTGCCACGATTTAATTAGGCTTTGAGCAAAAAGGAGTACTGCTGTTTGCTTTTAAGCCCACACGATGGTAACGGTTGCCTGTTCTTTACAGTATTCATGACCGTATAAAACCCTATCGTATTTCCCTTGGCCGGGCCATATATTTTTCAAGCCAAGAGTCCTACTCTATTGACTGTCTCCTTGCCTGGAAGCCATCCTAGCCCTGATCACGCTCGCTTTCCATATAATTTCTGGTTCTTTCTGGAGATGGAAAGAACTGCCCACAGCTTGGATGATTTCCCTTCTCCGGTTTTTGACTAGGTAGGATGTGCAGTTAGCAACAGCAAATTTCATCACCCTGTTAAACTGCAGCATTTCAACGCCGGCAGACTTTTCCACAGCATGTTACAGCTGGGTTTAGGTTTGATTGTCCTGAATAATTCCAGGTGATTAGCAAATACCCTCATCCGCCTGGCTACACTCCTTCCAACATAATCCACAAGTCGGATACAGCAGGAACTCCCTGGTAGCCTCCCCTTTAATGTGAGGCCAGAAAGTTTGCAAGTGGATTCTCTTACCCGTAAGGGAGGCAGAGCACAGGGAAATCCTGGAGCAAGTTGCTGATTAATTGTATCATGCCGGATGATGAGTTTTGGCTGTGTGACAAATTAATCCACTTTTGTGAAAGCGGGGTTACGGCGCGGACAAGCCAGTATTACAGAAGGCAAGGGAACGCAGCAGCCTCTTGACTAGTGCAAGGACATGAAACCCCTATCGCGTAGGAGAGGTATGAAATCACATGAATCATCAGTGGCACACGTTTGGGATATTTAGCATCAAAATTAATCACAACAAAAAGCAAGAAACCAACTTCTCGCAGTTGCGCACCGATGCTACAAGCCCAAGCTGCAGCAACGTGAAATAGCTTGAGCTGTCGCTGATGACCCTGCGCTCAGGATCTGTCACAAATAGCAAAACCCATGTCACAGTTTCTACCAGTAAGTGCAGATTTTTAAGCGTTCAAGACTGCCAAAGGGAATATTAAGCACAGCACTAACCAAAATCAGCTACAGACAGCCAAGCCGCACAGAAAATGTTCATTAATTCTGCGTGGGCAAGAGCAGGTCTAGAGGTACTTGGCATTATTCCCTTTCTGACAGAGGAAGAACCAATCTCAGAACCAACCAAGTCAAGTCATGTACTCAAGGACAAGGCAAGAAATCGTGTTACCAGGACGGGGTGCACAGTCCCATGATGCACGGCCTCCGGAGAGCCGGTGTTTCATCAGCTGACTGCATCCACTGAAGCGAGAGCACGGTGACTCCCGTTGTGCCACGATTCTCAGGCATCGAAGGAAAATCTCAGCTTGGAGCAGTCTGTACTACTACTGCACAAGGCACTGGTGCCACTGTGTCTGGAACACTGTACCTGCAGCTGCATCAATAATTTATGGATATAACTTAAGAGGATTTGGAGAAGTACAGAAATAATTAAGACTAGAAAACGGGGCGTATAGCAAGAAGCTTTACAGAGCCCGATCTGGTTAAACACAACACCAGGACTGACGTGGAGTGGGATGGCAGAGGAGTAGAGGGGTAAGCTAAATTAACTTCATTGCAACCACTCAGATTGAAGGGGATTTTTAGCTCGTTTTCTCAACCAGATTAGCTTCATGAGGATAACTGGATCAGATCAGAAAACCTGGAGAACTTGGTATCAGTTTCAAGCTTCTTAGGTTGACCTGAGGGAGCTCTTTCTCCTGGAACTGGTAGCAAACAGAAAAGGTGACCCTCCAGTCACTGAGAGCACTGATACAGCCACGCAGAATAAACCCGTGAGGCTAGTGAAGATGACATCTCCTTCCTCCCCCATTCCTCCGGATTTAACCATCCCCTGTAAACAGATCTAGCTGAAAACAAAATGGTTTTCATAGAATGGTTTGGGTTTTAGGGACCGTTAAAGCTCATCCAGTCCAACCTCCCTGCCATAAGCAGGGACATCTCCAACTGGCTCAGGTTGCTCACAGTCCCGTCCAACCTGACCTCGAACACTTGCAGGGATGGGGTATCCACAACTGCTCTGATCTTTCCCAGATCTTTCAGCCGGATCTGTTCCCCACCTGGCTAACCGCGGGGCCACCCAAACACAGGGCAATGGAGAAGATGAAGACAGTAGCCTCCATACAACGCTTAGGAAAACCTAAGTGACTTCCGATTTAATAGTGAACCCTGAAAAGGTCAGAATACACACTGCAGTTTTCCACAAAACACCTGGTGACTGCAGGAAGCTGGGCAGTGGCTGATTTTAGAGAAATATCTCTCTGAAGAAAAGAATTAGTATCTTTGATTTGTTATTTTTCCCAGAGCTTCTTATTTTAGCAATACATCAACACACATTCAAAATTAGCAGCCAGCCCAATAAACAGCAGCTGTGATTTTGCACCTTCCTATGCTGAAGCAGTATTTTGCTGACCAAATATTTAAACTGACAGAACTAATTACTGCTTTTTAAAGTATCCGGCAGACCAAAACAGAAACGGATCCAACATAATAAACTTTTCTAGAATAATCCTTAAACTCCAAGCCAGCCAGCCAGCATATTAAACTGGAATCACAAAACAAATTCCGGGCACCCTCTACAGCTAGTTTGATCCTATTGTGCAGTTTGTCCTCTTCATCACGTACTGAAAACGCGCACACACTGCAAGTGATCCCGGAGCAACAGAAGCCCACGCGGCTCAACAAATCTCTCACCAATTTTTAAAGGGGTTTTCTTTCAGGTATTTTCCTAAAAAGAAAACAAACAAACAAACAAAAGGTTGTACCAAGCAGGGAGAAGTATTTTTAGAAATGCCCTTTTTTTTTCTGACCGAGAGTCCATATTTAAAACTACTAACGCAATTAAAAGCCATCACGTGCATCCATCAAGATACTTAATTCTTGCACCACACTTGAACCTGACCAAATCAAACACAATTTATACGTAAGAACTGCCACGGTTGACAAGTTGTATTCAAAAATTCTAAAAATTGACAAGGGCGGTATTTTAAGCTCTGCCTTAAAGATACTGAAAACACAAAATGTTGGGGGGGGGGAATTGTTAAAAGGAAGAAATTAGTTGCAATTGTCATGATTGAATTACACAGATCAGATCCAATCAAGGCCTTCCAGATAATTAAAAGACCTAGGAGATCATACATTATTTTTATTGGAAAAAAACAGCAAATTCTTCTTAATTTCCAAATCCCATCTGGATCCTCAGTTCAGTTCTGTAAGCAAAGTAGTGAAAAACCTAAGCCAAAACAAGACAGCATGCGCATCAGCTGTTACAAAGAACTCTGACCATGAAGTTTGATTTGATTTCCATTTCAACCGAGCGATTCGAACGAATCGCTTTTAATACGCAGGGAATTTCAAACACAACCTCAGACATATTGCTCCTTAAAATAAATGGACATTGAAGAAGGGACTTCAAGTTCCTCTCAGCGGTGTGATTTGCACGTACTGCTCGAGGCGAGGAGAGGCACCGTCTGCCTCAAACACCGGCAGGAGAACGCTACGCTAGGAAAGGCGCGCATTGCTGGAACGGTGCACGCACACGTGCATGTCTGCTGTAATTTAGAGGAAGCAAGGTAGCAGAAATCAATGGGATGTGCTGCGAAACGCGACGGAATTCGAAGCGTACGTCTTGCGCTACCGCAAAAGCTGTGTTGCAGCAGCCATTCTAACTATTCAGTGGTTTTACTTAAATATTAATATCCGCGTTCCACCCAATCAAGGATTCGACATCCCTACAGTTTGCATTTTCACACGTGTCATTACTTTGATATACAGCTGGAAGCGTGGAAATCCGCAGCTGCAAGCAGAGCCGAGATTCAGAGCGACGAGCGGAGCGCTCGGCCCCGTCTGACAGTCCCACGAGCACAGCCCAGCTACTTGCTTCGGCCACTTTGACTTCTCGAATGAGACTCCCTGGTAAAGAGACATAAGGAAGGGACTGTGCTGGAAAACAGCAAAAAAAGAGTAAAAAAAAAATCCCCAAACCAAAGAAGTCTGTTTTCACCTATTTCAATGCAGTAATAGGTGAGATTTTATCACAAACTACTGAAACATGGATTAACCTTTTAACAGCGTATGACCAAAAAGATGTAAGACTTTATTTTGGTTACGCAGTCCTCAGTATAAATGGCAAAAGCTTCTTTGCAAAATGAATAATCTCAGAGTAAGCTTGAAAGCGATGTTTTGAAGCAAGCATCCTACCCCGTAACTTGCCTTTCCACTCAGGGATGACTGAAGCCTGAGAAGTCTCAGCACTGCAGTAAATTATTTCTCTATTTTCCTACAGCAATATCACTTGCTCCACCCTCTGCTTCTTATGATCTGCTTTCAACCACACCACACAGTCACATTAACATGGCCTGCCTGGTTGATAAAAAAAGAAAGAATTAAAAAAGAGAGTAGCCAACACGCGAGGCAGGGGATCGGTGCGTATGAAGCAAAGCATTTAGCCTTGGAAAAATCAGCTTGCCAGCACTGCTGGATATTAAGTTTAAGCCCATTTTAATGGCCTCGCTTCCAATTCAAGCAATTCAAAGAGCAGAAATGAAACAGCTTTATAAACACAAGATACTTAACACAGCAAACAAATGTTTCTCCAAGTTGAATTATTTTTGTTCCCCGTACAAGTTTGGGCTCTAAAGTACTATTTCAGTATAGCCTTGCACATTTGCCAGCACCATAAGTCACACTGATTTTTCTCTGTATAATTAATCACACTCTCTTCCGGTGGCCTGACTATGGAATCTTGCACTTGTTTGTATTGAACTGCATCCAGCTAAGGCTAAATTTTGCTAAACCTGAGTTAAGCCCAGGTGGAAATAATTTACATGAATGCAGATAAGATGCAAGCAGCCACATGGCAGAACTGTAGCCCACAACCTCAGTCATTCCACCACCAAAAAAACCCCAAACCAACCCCCAAAAAACCAGTTCTGCTGAGATGGATGAATGAAGTTATCATCCACAGATGTAGATGAAATAATCTTTCCAGTTCACAGGTGTGTGAAAGCCTCTGTTGAAGTTCCACATCTGGTTTTGGGCACTGCTGTCCAAAAATGAAAACACAGCTTAAGATGAGGAGAGATCAGAGATGTCGGGGGAAGAAGAAAAGGTTAAAGGAACAAAGTATTGAGTCTACGGACTGAGCAGGCTCAGAAGCAAAGGTCTAGATGATGCTGACATCCAGCCACCCTTATCTCCTTGTGAGCTTCATCAGCAATCAGAGACAAGTAAATGATACAGCCGCACAAACAGGTTGACAAATTTAATTCCAGGCAGTTCTGGCATTTGAAGGCATTGACTGAATATTTGAGTGACAGTGCCTTGCTGCACCACCAAGCCCCAAGCATCCATTACCCACACTCCATCTTCAGATCAATGCTGGACCGCTCCGATGCAACACCCTATTTAAAAAGCCACCTTGCCATCCTGCCAGATCTGCCTTCCAGCCTTCCTTTGCAACAACGCCATAAAAGCAGCTACAGCACGAGAGGTTCACCTCATCGTTACTTGTACTTCGCCATCTCCGTATTCCACTTCTTGTCTTCTTCTTACGCTTACGTCACAAGCATCTCCGGACGATGCCGTTCTTGTGTCAGACGTGCGGCGCCTCACACAACGGGAACATCACCCGTAAAGGGATTTACTCGATGTCAGAGCAGTAAACCAAAAATACAACTGCACCGTGCAACTGCAACGCGCTTATGAACTATTCCCTGCTGCTTCGGAGGGGAAGGACGGGGGAATTCTGGATCCTTAACTGCAGCACTGGATTTTGTATCAGTGCTTTCACAAAGTATTTGAAAGGGGGGGGAAGAAAAAAAAAAAAAAAAAAAAAAAAGAGAGGTTTATAGCATTATAGAACAGAAAACAAACTTCCCTTCACAACCATTTCCCTAACAGAGAATGTTCAAAAACCCTCCAAGATCAGCAAGACAGGAAGCATTATATAAATTACTGTATGCTAACAAGCACCGCATGAGCATGAATATTACTGAACTGCAAAAATACCCCATGGGCGTACATCATAAAATCCATTTAAAAATCCCTGGAAATGCTCAATTGTAATTTGTTTGTTTACCTGCAATGAGTAAGTGAAGCAACAAATATCACAGGGGGTTTGTCAGCACCTCATTAAGTTAGTAACTTAATAGCCTTTACTTTTGTCTATTTTTCTAATAAAAATTATCACGAGGATGGGTTTTCAAAGACGACAACACTGACGTGGAAAATACATCCTGCAGCATGGCACCGTTTTGCAAGAACACAGATAATTAGAGGCACAGGAAAATCACATCAGCTTACTTGAGCTTACCAGCTCCGAGGTCTCGCAGCAGAGCACGGATAACCCTATGTTGCAGGAAATTAATTTTTGACTTTTTATTTAACACGGAGACACCTGCCTTGAGGAGCTACGTGACAGAAGTTGACACCAGCAGCAAGACAAACTCCAAACTGGTTTTCCTCCTGTTTAAGGCCACCTTAACACCGATGTTGGAAGTTTTTGTGTTTATTATTAAAGTAGGAATACCTAACCGAACAAGCAACGCGTCACGGTGTTTGTTCGTAGGTCCATCGGTGTATGCACAGCTGGAGGGAAAGAATTAGACGGGGTGCTGACAAACTTTACCATGCATGAAACCAGTATAAAGTCCATTCAAAATTACACAAAATAACCGGAAGGGATGAGACTCTTCAGTTAAACAGGATAAAACAAGAGGAAGAAATAAAAACAGAAAAACTGTGTGTCTGGCAGACTCTGTACAGCAGAAGGGTTTGCTTGGCTAACTCTGTTCCAAACAGAGCCAGCATAATTAAATAACGTATTTAATGTTAAATCTAGCCTTGTATGTACCACGTAACCACTCGGCACACTCCTGCGAAATACAAGACTCCGCAACACAAACGGGTGAAATAGAGGCTTAGCGACTCGTTCGTAACCCCACGGTTCAACACAACGTCAGGAAACAGAGCCCACGAGTCCCAGCTCTCAATTTCAGATAACTGAGATAGAGAAGAGCAGACAGCAATCCTGAGAGAGAGCAATCCCCTCTGAAAGTCAATCAAAACTGCTTCTTTCTAAGTTTTATGCCTGTTTCTATACTAACAGTACAAATTAATCCTTGGATACAACTCCTTTGCTTAGCCTCAAAGCCATGCCATTAAACACCTAGATGAAGCTTAGCTTTAAAATAATTCATATTAAAAGAAATAAGTAGTTGATGAAGATTTGTTAGTATCAGTTCATATACTAACTACATCAATCATATTATATCCATCCAAATATACAGAATAAGATGTGAAATAAATGTTTTAAATCTATGCTTTAAAGGAGAAGAGAAATAGTCCTCTCCCATCCACAAATACCTGAACAGTTTATTTCAGTCACAGTGGACTAGCTGGCTTTTTCATTATTTCTTTTAGTTATCTGATTTCATGCATCAAGGCAAAGGAGATTTCCTGTAGGAATTGTAGGATATTTTTATCCTCCAAATAGAGCACTTCGTATCGTGCAGGAATCGTGCGGCGCGCACCTGGACCTCACAGAGGCTGGCGTTCCTCCCGAGGATCAACCCCTGGTCTTTGTCCCAATCCAGACCTCAGATTTCGTACTTTTAACAACCACCTACGTATGGAAAATCATACAGCCCTGAAAACGCCTTTTCTCACGATTTTATTAAATCTCCATGTTTCTGCCATCCTGTTTAAATCCGCACTTTTGCACAGTGC